GCTGTTTTTAAGTTCTTTGGTACAGACTGAGGAGAGGGATAGCTGGGTTAAATGGTGGTTCCATTCTTAATTTTCCAAGAAATCTCTGTACTGCTTTCCATATTGGCTGCACCAATTTGCAGTCCCACCAGCAGTGTACGAATGTACCTTTTTCCCCACATCCTGGCCAACACTTATTGGTGTTTGTTTTCATAAAAGCTACCATTCTGACTGGAGTGAGATGAAATCTTCGAGGAGTTTTGATTTGCATTTCTCTAATTGCTAGCAATGATGAACATTTTTTTCATATATTTGTTGGTTGATTGTATATCATCTTCTGAGGAAGTGTCTCTTCAGGTCCTTGGCCCATTTATTGATTGGGTTATTTGTTTTTTTTTTTTTTGGTAGTTAGCTTTTTGAGTTCTTTATATACCTAGAGATTAGTGCTCTATCTGATGTGTGAAGGCTAAAGATTTGCTACCAAGATGTAGGCTCTCTATTCACCTCACAGATTGTTTCTTTTGCTGAGAAGAAACTTTTTAGTTTGAGTCCACCCCATTTATTGATTCTAGATTTTAATTCTTGTGCCACAGGAGTCTTATTAAAGAAGTTGGGACCTAAGCTCACATGATGGAGATTAGGGCCTACTTTTTCTTCTTTTAGACACAGGGTCTCTGGTTTTATTCCTAAGTCCTTGATCCATTTTGAGTTGAGTTTCATGCATGGTAAGAGATAGGGGTTTAATTTCATTTTGTTGCATATGGATTTCCAGTTTTCCCAGCACCATTTGTTGAAGAGGCTACCTTTTCTCCAGTGCATATTTTTGGCAACTTTGTCTAATATAAGATAATTGTACTTTTGTGGGTTAGTCTCTATGTTCTGTACCATTGTTCYACCAGTCTGTTTTGGTGCCAATACCATGTTGTTTTGGTTACTATTGCTCTGTAGTATAATTTAAGGTCTGTTATAGTGATGCCACCTGTTTCACTCTTCTTGCTAAGGATTGCTTTAGCTATTCTGGATCTCTTATTTTTCCAGATGAATTTCATGATTGCTTTTTTTATTTCTATGAGGAATGTCATTGGGATTTCGATCGGAATTGCATTAAATCTGTATATTGCTTTTTGAAGTATGGTCATTTTGATAATATTAATTTTGCCTATCCAAGAGCAAGGTAGATCTTTCCATCTTCTAAGGTCTTCTTTGACTTCTTTCTTTAGGGTTCTATAGTTTTCATTGTATAGATCTTTCATCTCTTTCATTAAGTTGATTCCCAAGTATTTTATTCTTTTTGAGGCTATTGTAAATTGGGTAGTTTTCTACATTTCCATTTCTGAGGATTTATCACTGATATACAGAAATGCCTTTGATTTATGGGTTTTGATTTTATATCCTGCTACTTTGCTGAATTCATTTACTAGTTCTAGAAGTTTTCTGGTGGAACTTTTAGGGTCTTCTAGTTATAGAATCATATCATCAGCAAATAGTGCCAATTTGAATACTTTTCCTATGTGATATCTCTTTAATTTCTTTCACCTAATTGCTCTTGGCCAGTGTTTCAAGAACTATATTAAATAGAAGTGGTGAAAGAGGGCATCCCTGTGTCGTTCCAGTTTTTAGAGGGAATGCCTTCAATTTTTCTCCATTTCAAATGATATTGGCCTGGGGTTTAGCAAAGATAACCTTTATGATGTTGAGATATGTTCCTGTTATCCCTAATTTTTCTAGTGTTTTGAACATAAAAGGGGTACTGTATTTAATCAAATGCTTTTTCTGCATCTATTGAGATGATCACATAATTCTTTTCTTTAAGTCTATTGATGTGATGAATTAAATTTATTGATTTCCGTATGTTGAACCAACCTTGCATCCCTGGGATGAATTCACTTAATTGTGGTGCATGATCTTTTTGATATGTTTTTATATTCGATTTGCCAGAATTTTATTGAGAATTTTTACATCTATGTTCATTAGAGATATTGRTCTGAAGTTTTCTTTCTTTGATGTGTCTTTGCCTGGTTTTGGAATCAGGGTGATATTTGCCTCATAGAATGAGTTTGGAAGTGCTCTCTCTTTTTCTATTTCCTGAAATAAATTGAAGAGTATTGGTATTAGTTCTTCTTTAAAGATCTTGTAGAACTTGGCTGTGTATCCATCCAGCCCTGGGTTTTTCTTGGTTTTTTAGACTTTTGATGGCATCTGCTATTT